TTTAGTATGATTCTAAATCAACTCAAATAGGATTGATATAGCCCAAACAATTTGTGAATAAAAATGATAAAGAAGATGTTGTACGTACTGATAAACAAACTGACCACAAGTTTCACGTAAGGCAACGACAGCTTCAAATCTCTCTCTCATTCTCTCTGTTTCTCGCTTTCTCGCTCTCTAAAATATAACAATGTAGGTTACCTCTCTCCAAATTGCCAAATGTACATATCTTACCCAAGCAACGTGTTTTGGTTAGCACCGAATGGTACGACAAATGGCTTTATGATGGTCTTATTCATCATCTCCTCCCAGGCTCAATTTGCCTCTGTTATGAGCTAAGAAGCACGGATACGCAGATACGTAAATTTTAAAAAAATATAGGACACAACACGTTGGCGACACATGCAAAAAACATAATTTTATATATTTATTATATCATATTTTTAAATATTTAATATGTATTTTATATAAAATATTTAATTTTATCAAATTTATCAACTTTAGGTATGCTATTTTAGTAAAGAAAATTTAATTTTTGTTTGAAAAAAAAGTCCTCAACGTGTCTTTAATGTGTCCTCAGCGTGTCCCCAACGTGTCCCTAGCGTAGCCGACATGTGTCCAGTGTGTATCCATCTCGTACATGACCTCCAGAGAGGTGTTTGTGCTTCATAGGTTATGGGATTTTTGGGCTGCAAAGCCTTATTCAGTTCTTTGATAGTCAGTTGTAAGTTCACTTATGATCCAAAAGATACACCAAATTAGGTATCTAAACAATGTAGACACCTAACAAAAGATAGGATACAGATATTAATATGAGTAACATTAAATAAGAGAAACAAATGCAACCCAAGGTTATATCATTCTACAATTGGCTTCATAATAAATTTATTTACTTTAGTTGGTAATATCGGTTCCAGTTTGATTATATTATACAAAGATGACTGGAGTTATTGATTTATCATAGTTTTTGCAAGTTACAAAACCATAAGCGGCTATAATTGTTAGAACATGTATGAAGGTAGAGTTCCACATCGGATAAAGAATAAAATAGATAGGTCTTAATATAATATTAGATGGGCTCTTACTTATAGGCTTAAGCTTTTAAGTGGGTATGAGTTCCAGATAATGTATGTTAGGCTCTGATGGTAAGCATATGGGCTTTGAAATTTCTTCCTGATGAATTAGGCCGGTGTTGTTGTGTGCTTATAGGCTCCTTAATTTCCTAACAACTTGTGTCAAAGCCGATGGTAGACACTCTATGGGTGGACTCTTTTGGAACATTGATGTTGGTGGACTTGGGCTTGCACAAAAAACTCTTGACGGAGTACGAAAGAAAAAATCCATGGTGACTCTTGATGGAGTAAAATTCCTGGTGCATGTGGAGGTTAGACCGCAACAAGGTGGCTCTCAATGGAGTATGGTAGCTTACGATGTAGGGTGCGCGAGAGGCTCAAGTTGGAAATGATGTTTTTGAGAGTTATATATCAAGATTAAAGGGAGTGCGAATGATCTATGATAAACTCGCTAATGATAGATCAAATTCAAGGAGGAGCAGGGTGAGGCCTGATATTTGGTTCACACATGAGGGAGAGCAAGGCAAGGCCTAGTGTTTGGTTCACACACGAGGGAGAGATTGTTAGAGCAGGTGTGAAGGTAGAGTCTCACATCGGATAAAGAATAAAATAGATGGGTCATAATATAACATTAGATAGGCTCTCTACTTATAACCTTAAGCTTTTAAGCGGGTATGAGTTTCAAATAATGTATATTGGGCTCTGATGATAAATATGTGGGCTTTGGAATTTCTCCCTAATGAATTAGGCCCGTGTTGTTATACGCTTGCGAGCTCCCTAATTTCCTAACAATAATATTCACCATTTTTGGTTTACCTGAGCTAAAATAAAGTACCTTAAAAAAGAAATGTTAGTACTAAATCATCATTTATTACTTTGTGAGAAATTCAGTGAACATCATCTAATAAAGTATTTTTGAGTGACTTCACATAAAAAATATATATTTTATAAAAATTAAGGCTTTAGAAATAACCACATCAAAAGCATAAGAGGTTGGAAATTTAGCAATAACTAGGACGTGTGTCACTTACAATTTTAACCTATTTTACAATTTATTTAAATTTTTAAATGATACAAATTGTTGTTGAAACAAATGAAACATATTAAATTTAAGTGCTAACTTGAGTTAACAAATAGGCCCTTAGTTTAAACCACCCGAATGTGACCATCCAAAGTTTCCACATCCATAGTGCATCATAAAAGCTTCCATATATTATGATTATGGATAAACTATATCTATCGTCTTTAAAAGGGAGCTGTTAAGATGTGCACCTCAATAAGATGTGCACATCATATACACATTTATTTTAAGCCATTAGATTTTCACAAATGAATCTCAGCCAATGAAGAATTTGATTAGGAATATTGGCAACCCCTTCAACCGGTTACTTTTTTTTTCAAATTGTTTCAGTTTTTTCCCCAAACCCCTCTGTTTTGGAGACAGCACGCAGACCCTCCCTCTTCGCCCTCGAAGACCATCCCTCGAAGGCCATCCCTGCGAAGACGACCCACCATCGACTTCGCCTGAAGGTATGTCTCTCTCTCTCTCTCTCTCTCTCTCTCTGTAACTTTTTTCTCTCCCCCTTTCTCCATGTCCATTGTATGAAACCCTAGACCGCCACAATCCCTTTCTTTGAAACTGTGAGTCCACGTTTGTGAACTCACTGGGTTTGTTTATAAAAATAGGAAAATATTAGGTGTAGGTTTTTTATGTTTGTTTGCTTTGATAGTTGTTTTGATTCCCTTCTTCGAAATCCCCTTTATTGTTATGATTCATTGTAATATTGTTATGATATTACAATGAATGTTATGATTCTTTCTGTAACCTGTTACATGACCGGTTTAGCAGGTCATTGTTTATGATGTGGCACGATATGGGCCATAGAATAAGTGCATATCATATGCCCTTTTATAAGGTGCACATTGTAGACTTTTTCCTCTTTAAAATACATGTTTCTTGTCACTTTGGTACTTTCAGTTTCAATTTAATCAATTTTGTCTTTAAATTTTTTAATTTAAGTCAATTTGGTCTAATTCCAAATGCACCGGCTAAATAGTTAACAATAATAAAATATACATATGATCCTTAAATATGTGTTTCACGCCACTTTGGTCTCTAAAGTTTTTAATTGGCAATTTGGTCCTAAAACATTAATGAGAAAAAAGGAATATAATCTTACAATATTACGAGACAAGATTGATGATTTGGGGACCAAAATTACACACAATACATACACGGAAACCATGGTTGAAATTTATAAGGATTAATTATAATTTTTTGAAAATAAAAAAAACTCAAAGTTTCACGCATTTTCACTTTTAATGCCAATATTTCAATTTCAACAAATTAAATCTTAGAGTTCCATTCATATTTTAATGTGCCCCCTCCGTTTATTTCCACTTGTGTAAGGTACAGATGGAGTTTAAAGTGAAAAATGCGTGAAATCTTAAGATTTTTTTGTGTAATTAATCGTTTTTTTTTAACAATTAAAATTACTAAAAACAAAAAAGGATTAATTGCAAGATAAATCCCAAAGTTTCATGTGTTTTTCACTTTAAATCTCAATATTTTTCATTTTAAACGCCCATCATTACCTTACATAGACAAAGATAACAGATGGGACACATTGAAACGCGAATGAAACTCCAGGGTATAATTTGTCGAAATTGAAACACTGAAGTTTAAAATGAAAAACACTTGAAACTTCGAAATTTTTTTTGTAATTAACTTTTTTTTTTCAAAAAAAAAATTATGGACCATTGATCTTCTTGAATGACAGATTTATATTAGATATTTTTTAGGATAAATTACACTGACACCCCCTTTAGGTTTCTATTTAATACAGATTTACCCCTCACGTTTGAAACGTTACATCCCTTCCATGAGATTTGTAATCTCATTACAAATTGCCTCTTGAATTACTAATGTCATGCCCTAAAATTTTTTAAGTGAGCATTTTGCCATTTTTTGTACAATTTCTTCTTCTTATCATCGTGACTATATCATATAACTTTCCATCATTAAATTCTATATGAATATATTCTTATTGAGTGATGATATACAAACATAATTTTATATAAAATTTTCAAACATAATGATATAACTTAATGGTGACATTTCACTTTAAAACAAAACACACATAAACATGATTTATATTTACCACAATATCACTATCACAATATTTTTATGATATTTTTTATATAAATTTTTATATATGAATATAATTTTTTATTTTTATTTCCACTATCAGTTTTCTTTCTCGGCTATTTACCCACATTTATTACAATATTACTGAACTTTTGTATTTTTGTAGTTTTTTGTATTTGGTGAATTTAAAAAGGACAAATTACATATATCCCTATCGAGATTTAGCAAAATTACAGATATCTCCTGAGGTTTAAGAAATTACAAATACACCCCTAAAGGTTATAGTTGCATAACAAATTAGGGGGCACATTGTTATGAACATATAAACCTCAATGAGCAGTTTGTTATGAAAATATAAACCTCAGGGGTATCTGTAATTTCCAAAACTTCAGGGGTATCTGTAATTTAGCTAAACATCGATGGAGGTATATGTAATTTGCCCATTTAAAAAAACTTACAATATATTATATTATACTTTTTAAGTATATCTATTGCTTAAATATTAAAAAAAAACTAGTAAAAATAAAAAAACACGAAAAATAAAAAATTTAATTTTTTGTGTGAGTTAAACCAAAGAGGATAATTGTTATTTTCTTGAAATGACATGAATAAAATATCAACATTATTTTATTATTTTATATATATAAAAGTTAAGGAACAAATATATCATTTTAATTTGATAGAGATAAGTATAATTTTTCAAACATAAAGGGAAGATTTGTATTAAACAGAAATCTGAGGGCCTCAGTGTAATTTATCTTTTTTTTTTTAACCCTAATTTCTCATCTCTCCTCTCAGCAGCAGCCTCTCCCGTCACTCTCACTCACTCTCTCTCGTTCTTTCATCTCGGTGATCGGCCGGCGCTACACCTTCGGCAATCCACATACTCAAAATACGCTACAGCCTTTATATATATCACGAACCTCGTCGCATTCGAGTTTGGGCCACCGCCACCGCCACCGCCTCTCCGATCGTCATAAAATTCCCACTCCCATCCTTCGATCTTTCTTCGACAACCACGTCGGAAACCCACCCTTCACTGTCCCATACTGCGGGAACACCTCTGCTTTTGACTCTCACTCTCGTTCTTTCATCTCTCTCTGTGGCGACCGGTGATCGGCCAGCGCGACACCTTCGGCTACACCTGCGGCTGCAAGACCTTCGTTGAGGTCAGTTCGCCTTTCTTTCCATTTGTTCTGTCATGAAAGTAAAAAAATTAGATTTGTATTTATATTTATATTTCAGGAACAATCTAGACAATCATTTTTTAGATTTATATTTCAGGAACAATCTAAAGAATCCTAATCTTTTAAGTCATTTCCATATTACATGAATATTATTGGTCTTTCTATCAGAAAAATCTATCCTGGAAACTTGTATTGTTGGTACAAAAAAGACCTAGAAAAATGGGTGAAAAAGACCCAAAAATAATATTTAAAAAATGTGGAAAAAAGGCCAATTTTTTTTTTTTTTTAAAAAAAGAAGTCCAATCTGTAAACTGTCCACAATTGCCCCCACGAACCTTATGCGCACAAACTGCAACCTGCACTGCGTTGCGGATTCGCTTCTCCCCAACCCGCGGTCAATCGGGCGGGTTCAACCCGCAATCTGAACTGCAGAAGACCGACCTGCCAGCACCCCTAGTTAATTATATAGTCATGTTTCCTGAGAAGTTTAGTTTTGGAATGAAAAAAGAAAAAAGAAAAAGAGGTCAAAGGTAGAAAAGTTACTTCAATTTCAACTGGAAACAAATGGAGAATTTCAGTTCAATTGATGAAGATCGGCTGATTGAAGAACCTAATAAATGTTGAATAAAGCAGGAAGACTGTGTAATGATTTCTTGTAATGATTGAAGAACCTAATATTTTTGTCTTTTTGAATTCTTGTAATGGTTTCTTCCCATCTTAGACTGTGTAATTTAATTTTAATAATTATATATGCAAGTAAATTTTGTGTGAATACTAAACAATCCATCTTAAACTATGTAAGTAAATTTTAATGGTTAAGTTGAATATGGCATTATGTTTAATGATTAAGTTTAAAGATTAACTTATGTATCACATTGAATAAAATAAAAAAAAAAAAAAACTTATGTATCATATTATTTATTACGTATCGTATATTGCATCACGTATCTTATATGTATCATGAAATACATTTAATTTAAGATATGTATTAATGATAGTATCAATTTACATCTAAAAAAGTATTGAATCATAAGATACATCTCGTAAATTGTAAGATACTGAATGCTGACAACACTAGCTTTGAGAAGAAAGGAACTAGCACTTTTATATGATTTCATAGGAGTTAAAATGAAAAGAATAGGTAGAGCAAACTAATATATTATACAGCAATGCACAAGAGTTTTAAGTGTTAGTATAACATTGTCACAACTGCCCTTATTATTATTATTATTATTATTATTATTAAGGATACTTGTACAAGAGGGAGTTGGTTAGTGGGAGAAGTGGAGCGTAGTTTAGAAATAATATTAAAAAAACCTTATATAGTAAAGTGCACACGCATAGTGTATGCAAACCTTCCTAGTTTTATAAGCAAGTTTCTACTCGGATATCATTTTTATAGCAACCTTGTCCCCTTTTGCTACATTTTCAAGTCGTGCTTTTGTAATCAATTTCCTATCATGTACTTATTCACTCCAAACATCTATCCCTTTGATTCTATGGGCCTTTTTTACAACATCATTTAAGTTACTTTATTCATCTGCATCCTAGGGGAAAAAATATGCCTCTGGGGCTAATCTTAGGTTTAGGAAGGGCAATGAGAAGAAAGAAGACATCATCACTTGACATTCTCTCTTCAAAGCGGGGGCCACGGGATTACTACAAGGGAAAAAACTGCAAGCCAACTGGTTTCCATACACGAAAAGGTTTGTTTGCTTACTCTTACTTATATTTAAATCAAATCTTTTAGTAGTTTTATTAATTCATTTTAGTCTCTATTTTTTTCAACACAAGTATTGTTCATATTTAAAAATTATGTAACATTAAAAAATTCCCCCCTTCTCCTTCCAGGGGCACATGTGGGCCAACCCTATCCTTTTTCTTTTTGAGGTTTCCATTTTGTGTCATTAACTTATTTATTTATTTTTTTGTCCAAATGTTTAACATATGTTAGAGAATTGGTCCACTATGTCATACCTGGCCATGAAAGAGGGGTTGTTATTTTCAAGGTTCCCATTAAGGCGAGGAAAATGCCAAAAACTGTTTTGCCCTCGGTGGCATCAGATTCTTAGAATTCTTTTGTGGGAGGAAGGAAGATTTGAGATGTGGTCTTGGAGGCCAATGAGGCAGTTGATTCCAGGATCAAGAGTGGTTGTCCCAACCTCATTTGTGAGTTGGACATTGAGAAAGCTTATGACCATCTTGATTGGGATTATTTTTTCTCTATTATTTAGAATGGATGGGGTTTGGGAAAAATTGGAGGAATTCAATCAGTTTTTCATCTCCTTTGTGAGATTATTTTTGTTAGTGAATGGATCCCAAGCGGATCTTTCGGACGTCTAGAGGTTTGTGTTAAGGTGACCCATTGTCTCCTCTGTCATTCATCCTTATCATGGAGTGTTTAGTAGGATGGTTGACAAAGTGGCGGTCTAGGGTGGGTTTTTTGGAGGTCTTTGAGATTGGGCCCCTTGGTGGGTCTCTATGAAGCACGGACATGGATACGGACACGGGACACGACAGGACAGGGGACACGGCACGGGACACGACACAGACACGGGGACACACCAATTTTAAAAAAATGGGAGACACGACACGCTGGGGGACATAGTTAATATATATAACTTTATTTATTTATTATATGTCTAAAATAAAAAGAAAATTATTAATTTTTATACAATTATAATAAAAAAAAATTAATAAACATATTTTTTTAATTTTTTAATAAAAAATGAGTTTTTTTAAATAAAAATAATTTATTTTATGAATTTTAGGTTTAATAAAAATAAGGATAAAAAAAAGAAAAAAAAAAGAGGGAAGAAAATAAAGGAGGAGAGAAATAGAAGGAAAAAAAAAGAGAGAGAGAGACACGAGTGAATTAGTAAAAAGGGAAAAACAAGAAAAAAGAGAAACAAAAGAGGGGAGAGTGAAATCAGAGAGAGAGAGAGAGAGAGAATAGGAAAAGTCGAAGAAAATGGAGGAGAAGAAGAAGATGAAGGAGACAAAAGACGAAGAGGAGGAGTTTTAGGTTTAATAAAAATAAGGATAAAAAAAAGAAAAAAAAAAGAGGGAAGAAAATAAAGGAGGAGAGAAATAGAAGGAAAAAAAAAGAGAGAGAGAGACACGAGTGAATTAGTAAAAAGGGAAAAACAAGAAAAAAGAGAAACAAAAGAGGGGAGAGTGAAATCAGAGAGAGAGAGAGAATAGGAAAAGTCGAAGAAAATGGAGGAGAAGAAGAAGAAGATGAAGGAGACAGAAGACGAAGAGGAGGAGGCGAAGAAGAAGAGAGCAGATGAAGAATACCTCAGCTTCTTCAATTGATCTGAACAAGTTAGGGCTTCTCTCCTCTCCTCCCTCGATATCTTTCTCTGTCTTTGTCTTCTCTCCTCCCTCGATCTCTTTCTATGTCTATTTTTCTTTCTCTGTCTCCTCTCCTCCCTTGATCTCTTTCTCTCCAACAGTTAGGGCTTCGATCGTCCTCATGTGTGTCCGGATAGTGTCACAGAGTGTCCATGGCGTGTCCGACTGCAAAAATTCAAAAAAAAAAAAATAGGACACGTTAAATAGAGTGTCGGACACGTGTCCACCGCGTGTCCGACACTCATACGCAGGCGCTAGGGACGTGTCCGTGCTTCATAGGTGGGTCCTCTCTAGCAGTCTCCCATCTACTTTATGCTGATGGTACTATCATTTTTGGTGGGGTTGAGACTCAACAGTTGTGTTATCTTTTGTTTGTGTTTGTGTGTGTTTCTTTGCTTCGATGCATTGTCTAGTTTGAAGATTTAACTTGGGTAAATCTTCTGTTATTATAGTGGAGGCGGTGCCTTATATCGGGTGGCTTTGGTAGATATTCTTGGTTGTAAGGTGGAGTATCTGCCTCCTTCGTATTTGGGTTTACCTTTAGAGTCTTCTTTTAAAGCAAAGACAGTTTGGGACTCGTGGTGGATAGATTTTAGAGACGCCTAGCAAGTTGGAAGAGTATCTTTCTAGAGGTGTGATGCTAATGTTAACTAATAGTATTTTATCTAGCCTTTTTGCTTATGTCCCTTTTTACTATTCCGGCTTCGATTGCAAAGAGATTGGAGAAGTTGTAGTGTAATTTTCTTTTGGGTAGGGTTGGTGAGGAATTTAAGCATCATTTGGTGGATTGAGATACAATGTATTATCCCTATGAAGATAGGGAGTTTGAGCATTTTTAGGTTTGCTATCTTCAATCAAGCCTTGTTGGAGAAGTGGCTGTGGAGGTTTGTTTATGGCAGAGAGCAGTTTTGTGTGTGTGTGTGTGTGTGTGAGAGAGAGAGAGAGAACTTGGTATTTTGGCAGCATTTTTAGGGTCCCCTTCACTAGACGTGCATGTTCTTTTAACAAAATTTGAATATTTCAAATGAGACGATGTTGGAAATTTAAACAATTGGGATTGATGGTTTAGGAGGGGAAGTGAAGGATTTAGAGGAGAAGAGTTAGTTAACATCATGTTTGGTTTATTTTTAAGGAGGGGAAGGGAAGTGTGTGAGAGGTTAGGAGGTGGAGATAGTACAAACATTTCAAGCCCTTCTCTTCCCCTCTAAAATTGGAAGGAAAAGGAAGGGAAGTGAAGTGCTTCTCATAATAATATTTCGTAATACCTAATAATATGTCCCTCACCCCTTAATTAAGGCTTGGTTTGGCAATCACCTAATATAGTCAAAAAGTTAATAGCAAAAAGTCAACTCTTCTCTCTATTTTTCTGCATCTCTTGTAAAAAGCCAAAAAATCAACTAAAATGGGTAGTTCATAAAAAAACCCTAAGTATTATCTAACCAAACAAGTGGGAGGATACCTCGTCTCCCTTTTCTTCTCCTTCCATCCCTTCCCCTCTTAACTCACTTCTCCTTCACTCTCCCTCCCCTCAAACCAAATGGAGTGATGCATGTATGCAGCCCAAAAATAAATGTGTGTATGTGTGTGCATATATTTGTGTAAGGATTTTAATTGCCATCTAGTCAGTGACCATCCTTATCCGGTTAGAATCCTATCCAAAAGGAATTTTGTGTTCACATTTTTTTCTTGTATTTTTTCTTATTTATTTTATTTTATTTTCTTCTCTTCCCTTTGTACTTTTGAATTTTATTGTCTAAGCTATATGCTCTGCTTCTAGGCCAGTTTGAATTTTGAACTTGATATTTCTGGATCATACAAAACTTATCGTGACAATTAAATATACTTTATTTGGTTACTTATATTGCAATTATGATACTGGTGCAGGTGGATATGTAGTGGAGAAGGAAAAATTGCCAAATTATGTTGTCCCTGATTTAACTGACTTCAAGGTACTAATTTGCCACCTCTAATGGTAGATTTGTTTTTTAATGGACCTAAAAGGTTGAAGGATGTGCATCTAGTGCAGCTTCACATGGTGCAGATATGCTTATTGACATGGAAGTTGGGTTGGCAAATAAGTCATTGATGCACAATAAAACCCGACATCCATGTCACTTTCTGTCCTACTCACAAGATGTTTCTTCCCAAACCTCCTTCCTCTTAATTTCCATTTAGGCTGGGAGTTGGTTATGCTCTCAACTTCTCATCCTCTCTCTAATATTGTATCAGCCAACAGAGTTTCATATCTAGAATTATCTTATGTGCTTCAGTTTAAATATGTTCTCCTCTTTCAGAAATGCAGTTTAGGATGACATGGGGATAACTACAATTATAAATGAAATGCAATATATAGCCCTATGTTCATCAAATGACCTGTCGTGAATGGTCAATAACGACAAATTCTCACAGCTGTGGTCATTTTTTGTTGGAACTTAGATTAAAATGCATAATTTTGTATTGCTTTCACTGTTTTGGACTATTTGTTTAATTGCCATTAAAAAAAGGAAATCAGCCACACAAAAAAAAAAAAAAAAAAAGCAATTGAAATTGTTTTGTATTTTGTAGACACTTCAACGGCACTTCTTGAACTCTCCAAACACATCCTTTGTGATGAATTTCTTCATAGTAACAGTGTTATATATTCTTTGGAAAGCAAATTATTCACTCTAAATATGTTTTGGAATATTTATAAGATGAGTACATCATGTGTATTTCGATATTCTACAATTGTTTTGTATTTTTTAAATTGTAATTGTTATGTAAATAATATTTTGATGTTTAAGTTACGGAATATATCTACATATTTTTAATTTTGGTTAGTGTTATGTTGTTTTTTCATTACCTTTGAGTAAATTATTCATATTTCACATATAATAATTTATATAAATATAAATTTTAATGTATCCCGGCCTTATCTTCTCTTGCATTTTTTTTAAAAATTGACATGTTAGTGTCACGTTCATGTTGTGTCACGTGTTTGTGTGTGCTTCTTAGGTGACATGTTACTCATCTATGTGATGACAACTTGCTCGTTTTATAGGGTGCTACTTACCTGGAATTATTGTTATTATTAGGGAAAATTAGTGAAAAACCCCTCATATAAGAGATATCATAGTCCACCAAAATAAGTTTTAATCCATAAGCTCGTATTAATTTTCATGATGCATGAAGGACATCTAAGTGGCAAGATTGAATTTTGAAGACGTATTAACCCTTTTTAACTGTATAAATAATTATCACAGTGAAGGAAACATATTTATGTTCATAATTCTTTCTTCACTATTGACTGTTCCTTCTTGATTACAATCTCTGTGCAAAACTTACCCATGTTTGCAACCAATAGCTTGGATCCAACAGAGAAGAACTTTCATTAGTTTGTCCCCAGTATTCTAACAAAAATTCTGAATCAAAACCCACACCTTTACAAAGTTTTTGACCTTAGGTCATCGATCCTAGTGGGTAGTTATTCATTATGGATTGTAGTTCGTAGTTCTTTATCATCGTAGTCCCTAGCATACTGCTCTTTTCTTCATCACTCTTTCTTCATTGATCGATTTGGTACAGTTTCAAGCTCATTTGGTTTTTGATTGAGGTGGACTTGAAGTTTTGTTCAATCATTGCTTACAATTTTTATCTCTGCTGGTTGCGCTTTTTCTTCTAATTCTGTTTTTTGTTGTTGATGTCCTGTTCAGAGCAAAAAATAAAATTTTACTCTTGTAATGTGTTTATTTGCTAATGCTTTGTTTAAATGACAGTAAAATTTTATTATTGAATTGCTTGACATCCTATGAGATATAAATTGATGTGGAAGAAGAGTGCAATTCTCACATTTTTTAAAGCTGCTGCTTGATTTTATATTTATTTATTTTATTTTTTTTGTCAAGGATATATTTTTCTTTACTACTATGGAGCGATGATAAATTTCATTACTTATGTGTGTGCATTATGTTAGGCGTACCAATTGATATTACCACTTGACCTTTTCTCGTCATTTTTTTTGAGTGTATGATTGTATTTTGTATAAACTACTGACTCTTTTTCTCCCTTGCAATTATGCAGCTAAAGCCATATGTCTCTCAATGCCCCATAGAAGTTAAAACTGCTGAGGCTGCTGATTCTGCCAAACAAGCCTAATACATGCATCTTTGGCCCCTGCCTCTTTTTCTTTTGGCAAAGGAGACAACAAAAATTTGAAAAACATATAAATGTTATTTTGAATAGAAGTGGACATTTTTGTAATCCTTCTGTTGCTGGAATCTTGAACTATATCGATTAATCTGCTGTGCTTTGTCAAAAATTGTGTTACCAATTATGATAAAACCGTGGTTGTACAGAAGTTGAAAAATTCGGGAAACAGTCAAAAAGTATACTATAAGAACTTAGATAACTAAATACAAATGCTACTTTAAATAACTAAAGTTGTTTAGAAATGAACACTACGATGATCATACTTGAATTTTTTTGTGAGACAATTGTCAGGTCACTGTGTTGTCGGGCCCAATCCAGCTTCTGAAACCCTGCATCCTAATTCCACTGTCACTCACAATAGAAAGCTATGGTATGTTCTTTTAAGTATTGTTCTTGGTGAATGTTCATGTTCTTGATCGGTGAGCCCCAAAAAGGGGGTGCATTTTTTTGATAGAGAGGGCCATGGAGTTGGAGGATTTCCAAGTTTTGTTTTGTTTACTTTCCTGTTTTTGATTTCCGGGTTGTGCATTTGTTTTGTTTTGTTTACTCATATTGTCCCTAGAAAAATGAATGAACCTTCCTTGATGCACGGTCTGGTGTTTGGCTTTGGGATATCGGAGCTCCTGTTAAACCTGGTAAAATGCCCTAGGTTCTGTTTTTCTATACTATGGACAAACTTAAACTTCTCTGGTTTTTATAGCTTTAAAATTTGAAGTTTTAGTTCACAGTTAAACATGTTTAGAAGTGGAATAATGCTAAACATACAATTGGAAAGAGTTTCTCACTCATTGATTCAAATTAGACAATGTTTGAACGACTTTGGCGCAATACTTTTATTACTAGTAATAGAATTTCTGGTGGTGAAATTCGTAGTCCTCATTGATTCTTATTTTTTGGGACTAATTAGTGTATAGAGCATTATTCTAATTTTATAACGAAAAGAAAAGAAAAGAAGATACATACTGAAGAGAGCACAAACCACCCCGAGAGACTAGGCGATAAAAGAAGGATTTAAACAACTTTTCCTATTACACTTTTCAGGTTATAAAGTTTATGTTTGAGTTTTCTTCCATTTTTCTCCTTATAAGCCTCCCCATTGTTGGGGGTAGCAACCTTCTTGACCGTCTTATTTGATTTGCATTCCCTCTATTATTTTACTTTTTTTTGGTTCATTTCTCACTGATCTAATTCCAACAACAACAACAACAACAACAACCAAAAAAAAAAAAAAAAAAAGAAAGAAGAAGAAGAAACAGCCTAGCATATTCTCAATTTCTTATCTCATGAACCCACGTTAATAACAATACATTAATTATTTAATTAATATTATTAACAAACCAAACACGTAATTAGAAGAAGTGCAAAGAGAATGATAGCAATCAAACAGCAGCAAGTGCGAACACTCCCTTTGCACGCAATAGCCAATCTTTGGATATACACGATTTTATAGTGACCGATAACCCCTTTTCAAATATGGTAAGTGTACGAGGACGAAATAATTTTCTCGTATAATTATGTTGATTAAGTTTGTACTTTTCCAAACGTCGTCGCTTTTCTACTGAAAACACATATGTGAGCTAGCCGGCAGGTGTGTGTCGGAAATCTCTCCGATGCCTAAGTCAGCAAATAGACAATAGACACAAAAACTGTGTGTATTTGAGAGTAAAAATTGTGATACTTGTACATAGGTCCTGTCATAAGCTTTTATTGATTCCGCTTGGCACAATCCTAGTAGGACTTCAACGCTCATTAGCAGAGTCCTCATAGGAATCACACTCCCAAGGATAATGCATATCCTGATAACATTCTACTCACTACTAACCAAGTGAGATGGCTTGAACCCCTTTACCTCAGTTTGGTAAAAAAAAAAAAAAAAAAAGAAAGAAGAAGAAGAAACAGCCTAGCATATTCTCAATTTCTTATCTCATGAACCCACATTAATAACAATACATTAATTATTTAATTAATATTATTAACAAACCAAACACGTAATTAGAAGAAGTGCAAAGAGACTGATAGCAATCAAACAGCAGCAAGTGCGAACACTCCCTTTGCACGCAATAGCCAATCTTTGGATATACACGATTTTATAGTGGCCAATAACCCTTTTTCAAATATGGTAAGTGTACGAGGACGAAATAATTTTCTCGTATAATTATGTTGATTAAGTTTGTACTTTTCTAAACGTCGTCGCTTTTCTACTGAAAACACATATGTGAGCTAGCCGGCAGGTGTGTGTCGGAAATCTCTCTGATGCCTAAGTCAGCAAATAGACAATAGACACAAAAACTGTGTGTATTTGAGAGTAAAAATTGTGATACTTGTACATAGGTCCTGCCATAAGCTTTTATAGATTCCGCCTGGCACAATCCTAGTAGGACTTCAACTCTCATTAGCAGAGTCCTCATAGGAATCACACTCCCAAGGATAATGCATATCCTGATAACATTCTACTCACTACTAACCAAGTGAGATGGCTTAAATCCCTTTACCTCGGTTTGGTAACAGCTCAACCGAGCTAGCATGGTCGTGCCCTATGCCAGACTCAACCGTGCTCACACAGCTCGGTGCTACTTTAGGCAACATCGTAAGTCTTTACTGTTTAGACGACGTCCTGTAGAGCTATCATACACCTCGGTCCTCTTTCCTTCGATACCATGGTCCAGGACAGCTAGACCAGGCCACTGGTAGCCTACCTCTGACCAAACTGTTGGGATAAAGGACCAAGCTTCATTACCTCGGCCTAACGTCTAAGAGATTGGACCTAGCTCGGTCCATTTCAACAGTTGCACTTAGCTCGGCCCAATTTACATAAATTACCCTCTCAATTGCCCCTTAATTCTTTCTGCACAGCATGAATGTGATTAATTTTCTCAAGCCGTGCTAAGATATTCAACCCAACCGGACCAAAAAGTAACCTAGCCATGATAAAATACTCCTTCTGTCCGATCTACATGTACGCCCATTTCTAGGTATCCCGGTTTCTCTAGAACCGTGCTGGCGATATGGCCCGTCGTTTCACGTACCTGACATCGTGTCCTTACTGGGACACGTGGCATGCATCCATTGCTCCTTTGTACTATGATAGCCGTCTCACATTTATCAAAAAAAGTTTGTAAAGTCCTGCCGTTTTGATCCCTATACAAAAACCCTTTCTTCGAATTCTAACTCCTACTGTTCATCTTCTAGCTTGCAAAACCCTTGTCCTCCTGAGCTCCAAACCTTCAACCCCTAATCTTTCTATGTTTCAAAACTGGGCTTTCGCATCTCCTGCGTTCATTATAGTTGCCAGTGTTGTTTCTCCAGATTGGATTCGGATCTCATTTCCCAACCGGTAAGTTCTTCATCTTTGTACCTATTTCTGTAACACATGTTCCCATTTACTTCCAAAGAATTTGCATTTCTGCACCACATATGCACTTAAGTATTGAACTAGTGCTAAGAACCTTGAAACCCCATGTGTAACATTGAAAACACATCTAACTGGGACTAAACTAAGTCTTTACACCGTGTGTGATCCAAAAACAAGCCGTAACCGGAATCAAATCCCGTTTGTGGCTTTTAGGCTCGATTTCGATCGGACTAAAGAACATATACCGAACAAAACCGAGGTAAAATGCTGCCCAAGTCCCTTTACTGAACTGAATGTACCTCGGTTCTCCAAACCGAAATAATTATATTCTTCCAACTGGTCCCTAGTCGAACACAAACCCAGTACATGCCCACGTTCTGCTGAGCTTAGACTTCAGTCTTAACTTGTTATTTAGCCCAGTTGGGCATAACTCCTTTCTATTTCCACTTTGCACACTTGACTAGGTTGGCCAGGCACACCGTTGCACTTTGTCCCTTGGCGCCATTACTCAACCAAGCCATCCAAAGTCACATCAACGCCGAGCTAGGCTGCCGTGCTCATTTTGACACAACTACCTTTAAGTTAAATAGGTAAATATCGATTCCTGGTAGACTTGCCTGGGGCCATGGCCGAATTTCGAAAAGACTACCATATTCTCGATGGCATCCACCTCTCCTTAGTCGAGCTAGACATCACACCCTGGGGCAAACCAGGCTTCGTCCCATTTACAGTGATATTGATTGTAAAAGCTGGGCTCCGGTTCCCTGTACAACCCCTTATATGCGAGTTCCTTAGGCAAACAAGATTGTGTCCAACCCAACTCTCCACAAACACTTACAGAATAATAAATGGCATCGCTGAGCTAAACCGCCGGCTCGACCTCAACCTCGGATTGGCCGAGCTATTTTATCAATATTCGCTTGGCCAAAATGACGACGGTTAGGTGTACTACCTCAGAGTAAGAAGAGGCCGAGAAAAAATTATAAAAAACACACCAGACAAAGACTTAAACGATGACGATTTCTTTTGGGTTTCTAGTCGTTTTGAAGATCAGGAAGCCCAGATACCGGGCTATAATATAAACTAGAATAAAGGAACTGTTGGTAAGAATATTTCGGTTCAACTATCTTTGCTGTTCCAATAACCACCGTGCTAACCTATTAGGTTCCTTGTCTTTCTTTTTTGCAGATTTAAACCAGCTTAAATCACATTACACTTACGCCAATCAAGACACCCTTCGTGCCGCACTTCGATACCGCCACCGCGATTGGGCTGAGCTACTAAACTTCGAGTCGACCTACCGGTACAGCGCAAAGAGAAAAACCAGAGTTATCGACTTCCTCCTAGAACCTTCCCCTGAGCCAGACCCTACTCTTCCCCAAATCAACCTCATCCCTCTTACTAAAGAACAAGAGATGGCAAAGAGGCAACCTGTCGGCGTCCTTACTACTGAGCAGACCGCTCCTTCCACAGTCGAGGCCCAAACCAAACTGCCTCCTGCTGGTAATGCTCGTGAGGCCGTGGTCACCTGATGGGTCGTTGAACACACCAAAATTAAATACTAAACTATACCAAATTCTATCAGAATAATGGCAAGTCCAGGTATCGATCCACAGGGACTATTGTGAAATTAAACTAATTTAATTGTCAAATTCCTAAATTAATTTTGATAAAAAGATTGAATGATCATAACCTAATTTAATAACAAATAAATTAAACTAAGGAATTAAATTATCAATAATAAATGAAATTGGATTTACTAAATTGGGGAAAAATCCTAGGGTAGAGAATTCACCACTAACCACATAAATTATTAGGGTTTCCAATTGAAATTAATTATGCTACGGTTTGA